GGGAGGCTGAGACTTGAGCGGAGGAGTTTGAGGCTACAGTGAGCTATGATCATGCCACTGCTCTCCAACCTGGACGACAGAGCAAAACCTTCTTTAAAAAAAAAACCAAAAACTATGTATTTACATACATGGTTCCATGTTAAATTTTATCCAGGATCCTAGACTGATGAAATGCAAGGACTTCTCATATGTGCTGCTTAAGGATTTCATCAGTCGTCCTCAATTCTCAATCCTTTGCCTCTTATGAAAAGTTGTTTTCAGCAACATAGTTCAGATCTAAATTCTCATTAACTGGCTTCAAGAAACTAAGCCATTTGCATGGGATTCAAGGGTCATTTCAAACTAGTCTCTACTGAGGCAGGTTTAAACCCTGGCTCTCAGGCCAGGGGAGGTGGCTCACGCCTGTAATCTCAGCACTTTGGGAGGCCAAGGCGGGTGGATCACTTCAGACCAGGAGTTCAAGACCAGCCTGGCCAGCATGGTGATACCTCGTCTCTACAAAAAAATACAAAAATTAGAAGTGCCAGCTACTTGGGAGGGTGAGTGAGGCGATTGCTTGAGCCCAGGAGGTGGAGGTTGCAGTGAACCCAGATCATACCACTGTGCTCCAGCCTGGGGGATAGAGACTCTGCCTCAAAACAAAACAGAAAAACCCTGGCTCTCCTCTTAGCTCTGTGGTCAAGTCAGGTGGCCCTCTGAGTTGCCATAAAAGTGTCCTTACAAGGTAGACAGGGACAGATCAGCAAGGTTTGTAAACCACATTGCATGGCACATAGTAGGTGTCAGAGAAATGACAGCATTACAAGTGCATTCTCATGTTTCACCTGGAAAGCCACTCTAGTCTCTCACTGCTTCATCAAATAATTTTGTTTTTAAAATGCTGGCATATATGTGATTAGGCTGACTGGGCTTTGCACATACATAGCAATCTAGTTCACTAATTAACGTTACATTTATGCTATCAATTACCAGCAGCTTAACAGATTGTGTGGATATTTCTTCCCTTAGATTTACATAATTGGAATCAGTCTTCTACCTCAGGCTTTCATGAATCGACCAGGATTTGTAAAGCACCTACCAACTATTCAGCATCAGCGAGAGTGCTATGATAATAAATTCTTATTAGTATCGAAGATTAAACATTAAATTCAAACTTTGGTAAAGAGAATGGGGGCATCCTTTCCTGTTAGTAATCCTCAGTTCCTGTGATAGTGAAATAGCCAAGCCCTAATGAACGATCTCTCAACAGAAATCTGATACGTTAGTAATGGTAGATGGCTATCAGTATGTTTCAAAGGTAATTATAAAAATGGCTTATTTCCCTTGTTTTATTAACACAGTCACTAAACTTCAATCTCAGTGTTTAATTTCCCCCAACAATTTAGCTATTTCCAAGAAAAACAATCATTTGAAGACTGGCATTGCAGATAACAAAACAGTATTACCTGGTACTGGCTTCTCTTTCAGTAGGTAGTTTCAGTGGAAACAGAACCTCAAACCTGGCTACCCTGTTCCCACCTCACACCCATTAAAACACAGCCTTACTTTTTGCATTTCACGATTATCAAATGAACGATTCACTTCACGAAAAGAACAGTGAGCAAAATCCTGGAGAACCACGGAACTCCCCACCACATTGTGCTAAACACATCGTTAGCACAGACACGGGAGACTGTCATGCTTCTCAAATCCTTCTCTTCCAGAACACCTGAGGATTACAAAACCAACACTTCTACTTAAAAAAAATTTTTTTAATTAAAAAAAAATAAGTGTAGTCAGGGCAAGAAAAGGAAAACAGTGTCTTTATTGCGTGTAGTTCTAACAAACATTCGCTGTGTGCGCATTCCAGCAGAGAGAGACAAAGATCTTCGTTCAAAATATTCTGAAGTAAAATAGGTAAACTAACGCCATTAGTGAATATACAAAAGGAATGTTAATGTTACTTGTTCACAGTCAAAGGTGAAGTTAAAAAAAAAGGGAAGTTAAATAACTGAAGTAATGGTTTGCCCAAATAGCAAACGTAGGATACAAGCGTGGGCAAAGAGCAGCTACTGAAGCTCACGAGGAGGATGCTGGATATAGGGTAGGTAACTTGACAAATGCCTCTGCTTCTTTGGAACCTTCTTCCTAGATCACCCCCACAAATTCCAAACCTGGCTCTTTCAGAGCACAACAGCCAAATGTAACTAAACTCCTCATTACTTCTGTGATATTTGGCAACAGAATGAGATAGTTAAAAAAAGAAAAATCAATTTCTTGTTGAGACAAGACATGTCTGAATCCATTTCTCCTGGGGTAGGAGGAGGTAATGAACATCAACGTTCTGCATCTCAATCTCCTAAAATGGAATTTAACCAGATAGATATTGCTTGAGATTTTAAAGCAGGAGATACCATAAGTAATGATACTTAAGGCCTGTAAAGCATTTTTCATTGTCCCACATTGCAGCTAAATGAGTATAAACTCGACAGTGTTCTGATTTCACAACATATGCATTTATGACAACTGCTAAAAGAACTTTACAGGCTCAAAAGATAAGTTCCAAGGGATTTTTGTTTTTGCTTAAGCAGTCTTGAGATCTAAACACAAGATAAACTTTGACCCCACCACTCTGTTATCTTTACAAATGCAGAAGTCATTTGGAAACCAAAACCAATTGCTGAGTAGGGGCTGGGGAATTTTGGTGTCATTTCAAACTAGTCTCTACTGAGGCAGGTTTAAACCCTGACTCTCAGACCAGGGGCAGTGGTACCAACACCCTCTATTTTGGTGGCATGAAACTTCTCTTACCTCCTCCTTCGTGTCCAGCAGCCATGATGTGTACAGTCCAGTTTGCAGCAGCAGCAGCAGTTAGTCCTCCTCAGGAATAAACAACCAAACACCCCGGAGACCAGCTCCAGGTGGCACTGTCAGCCAATGGGGACTGGCTCCACTTGCTCTCCAGAGGACTTTCACCACCTACCCATGTCAAGACTGTTTCGTGAATTCAAGTTTACTTCCTTAAAAAAAAAAGTCCTTTTGGATGGATTTGGCTAGTGTGCTATATTACTTTATTGTTTAGAAAAACCTCCGCAAACTCTCACACAAGATTTACCTTTCACCTGGCTGTTTTTGTAGGCAACAGAATAATAGTAAATGGACCCCCAACTGGTTTTCCTAATACAAAGTGACATCACATCAGCAGTAGCTCAGAAGCAGCCCTGGGTACTGCAGGGATTTCATGGGTGGAAGAGACAAAGTCTAATTATCTTTTCCTCTGGCTCTCAGTAAAAAACAAGTCCAGATGTAAACAGGAAAAGAAAACCCATGTGAAGTAGAAAAACATACCTTTTGCACTGGCATTTACCTTAAAAATAACAAAAACACCAATTTTACTTAAGATGGTAGTTCTCTAACATTGCTTATAAGCCAGATGTTTTTCATTCAATTTTGGACATTGCCAACACACTTTTACAACTGATTCAAGTTATCTTCAGGCTTGGCTTTAGATTGAATGTTCCATTTCAAGCTCCTCAATACTCCACTGTTCTTTACTTTTACCCCAATGTACTCCAATAATCACGTAATTTATTTATTACAGGCAATCATATACCAATCCTTCCTTGCCTTTAAATAGAGAAGCATCAAGTCATACCACTGTTGTTAAATAATAACCAAGGTTTTTATCAATATTGTCTTAAAAGTAGCATCTTATAATGCATACGAACATTTTTCTAAAGATAAAAGTTTTACTAAACCCATATCCCTGACATTTTGTAAAACTCAGCCAGAAATCTCCTAAAATTACTCCCAAATATATCCAAGTGTGCAAGTACAAGGTTAATATTATTTTGATGAATTCTGTATTCATTCAACTGCTAAATCACAGGATACAAGACCTGGGTTGAACTTTTTCTTAAATAGTTTGCATGGGCAGTCCCTGGTTTGCTGGGCAGTTTCCTGTCTCATCAAATCCCTGGCAAGCTGGGAGGGAGGGAGGAGATGCTGAGCAGCCTCTATGGTCCTTCTTGAACCAAGCTGCTCCCTGCCGGATATGACAATGCCTCAGAAGCAGACTAGCAATTCTCAAAGGACAGGGAGAAAAATTACCACAGTTGCTGGCAGAAAACAGCCAGTGTACTATTTATTTCCTCAGGTGCTTCTATGGGGAAAAAAATAAAAGTCTAATATGCCAGAGAAATCATCACTGAACCAATAAGACACAGTAACATAATTCTAGTAACCTACTTCTCAATGAACACACATCAGAGAAAAAAACTGCCAGTATTTTATTCTCATGGAAAAACAGAACAAACCCACAAGTTGGAGTCATGGAGGTAAAATACAGAAGAAATGGAAAACGGGCTCTTGTCATGAACTCTCACTTTCAAATACCATTTTCTATGGAAGTTACTTTACTCGGGGCAAACAGAAGGCCATGCTGGAGTCTTTTACTTTTGGAAAATGGAGAATCAAAAATTTGCTAATCAACAAACAAAATAGGAGGGAAAATCCTTGGTAAAGCTCTACAGACATAATTATACATTTATATTTTACCAATAAAAGATAGCTAGGGTAGAAAAAACAGATGGTTAGAAACTGGTGCCAAACCAAAGTGAAAGCTTTGGTGCTTTTTCTAAACTCCTATCCTGAAGTAGTGTTTTTCAATATTTTTCTAAAGAAAGATAACTCTGAATTCACCAGGGTTCTATCACCCCAATTCATCCCTCCCTTTCCAGCCCCAAGACATAAAAGGGCCATGTAGTTTTTTTGTCCAGCACCACTTGGGAAGGGGCTGGGCTCAGGGGGTGGAAAGAGCTACCTGCTGCCCTAGCTTGAACGGGAGGAGGAGGTGGCCACACCATTCCTTGTAGCTTTATCATGCACATAAAAGGAACAAAACTCATTTGGCAGTTTTAAGCTTAATAGGTGCATATCTTTACTTCAGGAATTAAACCCCTTATGAAAAATAACAGAATTAAATCAAAAAAAATTTTTTTTTTAAAACAGATAAGAGTCTCGCTATGTTGCCCAGGCTGGTCTCAAACTCTTGGCCTCAAACGATCTTCCCACCTTGGCCTCCCAAAGTGCTAGGATTACAGGCCTGAGCCACCGCACCCAGCCCTAAATCAGAAATTTTTTTAAAAATTTACTTAAAAGAAAAATGAAAAAATAAAAGTTTCAACACTAGACTGCCGCCCTGTTAAGAATGTCTAATGTGCAATCAAAGTATTGGAAAGCAGGCATTTTTACGAAAGAGCAATGTCACTATAACTTATGAACAGGAAGTTTTGAAATATAAGGGTACTCATGGAAACCAGTGAAGAGAGGAAACACCGGCAATCATTTGACACAGAACAGTGAGCAGGTACTTTGGGAGTAAGGCTCTGAGAGATGGAGAACACTGGTCCCAGATCTGAGGTGGATGTCTGGCCAATCGTCTTGGCTCCAAGGGGGAAGAATGCAACTGGCAGGATTCAAGAAGAGGGCACTTCTGCAGCCCCCAAGCAAGTCTCTAGTTTTCACCCCAAAATGGATGCACTTTCCAACTTCAGCAAGGCCTCCTCAGGAGGATTTGCTTTCCGATGTGTAGTAGCGGTACAGGAAACCTAAGAGAACAGCGCCTATGATGGGTAAAATCCAGTATGACCAGCAACTAGGAGGAGGGGGAGAAAGCAATAAAACTGTTAATATTTTAAGACAAATGTTCACTATCTTTCAGCTTTCACATGTTTTTATATGGGCGAGGAGTTTTTATTTACTTTGGGAAATTTAACTGCTTTTATCACAAAGTAGTTGGGGAAAAAATATTTGGATTGGAGTGACAAAATTACAAAGTAATTTTTTAAAAGGTTAAAAACAACCAATAGTATGATATCAAATAAGATGCCTTTCCATGCCTTTATATGTGTTTCTACAAAGTCATATAGTGGTTATTTCTGAGTTAGGGATTATGGATACTCTCACATTGTCTTCTCTGTGCTTTTGCTTTTCACGTATTCTGCAATTAACATTTTTAAACAGGAAAAAACACCATTATGTAAGTGACATTTCATATATGTATTAAAAAAATCCATCCCAATATAAATTTGGAAGTAATCATATCTAATATAACTACCAGAAATATCCTATCTACTTCATATGTATTTTAAAGATTTAATCCTTACAACACCCTATGAAATAGGGCTATTATTCTCATCTCATACAAGAGAAACATAAGCTTTGCACCCCAAATCCCAAAGCTAGTAAGGGAGTTGGACAGTGTGATTCCAAACCCCTCTTCTTAATCCCTAGTTAAGTTTGGACACTAATAAGGATACACATACACAAAAAGTATATACAGTTCTAATAGGGTAAAGCAAATGGCAGCTTCAAAAGTACTGCAAGAGCCTTTCCTTAGGAGCTTCAGAACAGTCATCATTCTCCTTAACATAATAATTCTTTAATAGAACTTATTAGCACACTAGTTTTAAAGTATAATTCTTCCATGATCCAAATGACCTGGCTGCCCCTCTACTTAAAACATATGAGTCTTGGTATTAAAAGGTTTTGAAGTCAATAAAACGAGCTGAAGTTCATAAGAAAAATGATTCTTTGCCTAAACATGCCTAGCACTCTGTATGCTTACGTATGGCAGAAAGCTACGCTGGACTAGTTTGGAATGTTAGCCAGGCAGCTTTGTTTAAAATACCAAGCAATATGGCATGTATAACAGCAATATGCACTGGGAACTCTGAAGTAATCTCCTGATAAGAGTAATGAATTCAGACTCCTTGAAGAGCAACCACAAAAGCCTAAAGAATCCAAAAGTAGGATCCTTAAGAAAACCCTGAAGAAGAAAATTTGCCTTTTTTTTTTTTTTTTTTTTTTTTTTGAGATGGAGTCTCGCTCTATCGCCCAGGCTGGAGTGCAATGGCGCGATATCGGCTCACTGCAAGCTCCGCCTCCTGGGTTCACGCCATTCTCCTGCCTCAGCCGGTGGATCCGCCCGCCTAGGCCTCCCAAAGTGCTGGGATTACAGGCATGAGCCACCGTGCCTGGCCAGATAATTTCTTTAGTACAAAAGACTGAGAATGGTTGACACCAATACTCACATAATTTTTCCTAATACTTAACTGCGACTGAGGAGAGAACCAGACGAAACACATTTATACTGCATCACAGGAGATTCAGGTTCAACAATAACTTCCTGTCCTAACACAGACTTTTCTTCTTGGAGATTCATCCAGATTACTACATGTTTGTGATTCATTTATTTTTATTGTTTTGTAGTGTTCCATTGTATGGATATACCACAATTTATTAGGGTTGTTTCTGATGTTTGAATATCTCGAATAATGCTGCTGTGAACATTCTTGTACATATTTCTGGGTGTATTTGTGCACACATTTCTATCAAGTATATCATTAGAAATGGAATTGCTGGGTCAAAAGTTAATTCATCCTGTCAAATTTACTAGATAATGCCAACCTGCTTTCCAAACTGATTATACTCATTTACATTACCCTAGGAGTGTTTTTAAGAGTTGGGGGATAAACTTTCCAACCAACTCTTATTTACAAAATTTTTAATTTTTATCAATCTGGTTAGGTATGAAATATACCTATGATTTTAATTCACATATCACTAATGATGAATGAGATTTAACCTCATTTCCATATGTTTACATTTGTGTTTCCTTTTCTGTAAAGTGTTTAAATCTTTTTCTCATATTCTTTTTTTTTTTTTTGAGATGGAGTCTTGCTCATCGCCCAGGCTGGAGTGCGGTGGCGCGATCTCGGCTCACTGCACGCTCCGCCTCCTGGGTTCACGCCATTCTCCCGTCTCAGCCTCCCAAGTAGCTGGGACTACAGGCGCCCACCACAACGCCCGTCTAATTTTTTGTATTTTTAGCAGAGACGGGGTTTCACCGTGTTACCAGGATGGTCTCGATCTTCTGACCTCGTGATCCACCCGCCTCGGCCTCCCAAAGTACTGGGATTACAGGCATGAGCCACTGTGCCCAGCCCTTTTTCTCATATTCTACTGAGGTTTCAGAAAACTGATTTGTAGGGATTCTTTATATCTTCTGCCTGATAATTCTTAATCAGTTTTATGTTTAGCATAAGTCTAAGTTTTATAGCATAAGCATAAGGTGTTGTTTTTTGTTTTTTGTTTTTTTTTTGAGATGGAGTTTCGTTCTTGTTGCCCAGGCTGGAGTGCAATGGCACGATCTTGGCTCACTGCAACCTCCGCCTCTCAGGTTCAAGCAATTCTCCTGCCTTGGCCTCCCAAATAGTTGGGACTATAGGCACGCACCACCATGCCCAGCTAATTTTGTATTTTTAGTAGAGATGGGGTTTCAACATGTTGTCCAGGCTGGTCTCGAACTCCTGACCTCATGATCCACCCGCCTCAGCCTCCCAAAGTGCTGGGATTACAGGCGTGAGCCACTGCACCCCGCCCTGCATAAGCATAAGTTTTATGTTTAAAATCTGCAATTTTGTGGCTTGTATTTTCAAAATTTTATGCAGCATTTTGTTGACCCTAAGCCCTCAATATTAAGGAAACTAAATTTACTAATAGTTTGTACTTTTTTATACTGTGTCCATTACCTCAAATAATAGATCTGATATTTTATGGGAAAAGAAAGACATATTTTCTTTCTCTGAAATACCCTGAGATGTCCAAAAGATAGAATGGCTAGCTCTATATAATCTCCACAAATATATTGTACAGGCCAAGGATTCCACAGTCATTTTAGATAGAGGCACTTAAGGGAAGGCAATTTATAACTTTCAGAGCTAATACTAATGAATTACTAATATTAATGCCAAGGAATATATTGTAAGTAAACCTGAGAAAATCCAAATTCCTAAATATGACTGTAGTGTTTTTTTCTTCTGTAAAATGTAATAATAGCACCTATCTTACAGAATGGTTGTGAGAAGTAAATGAGATTAAGTTTTAAGTAGAATAGTGTAGCTGGTTTGAACTGCAGAGACTGAAGGCTGACCCACTAGTAGCTACCTGTCCATGCATACTGGCCTCTTACTGAGTGTGATTCCAATTTGTGTCACAATAAGATTAAAAAATTACTCAAGGCATGAACCTTTTAGATTATTCAAAACGGCTAAAACTATAAAAGTTAATTTTGCTAATGTCAAGGAACAACTGAATTTGCAGTGATTTGGGCCAAAAAAGAATTAGCTGTCAAGCTGCACTCGTAAGTTATGTTACATACATATACTTACGGAAGAGTCTCTTGCTAGACATTACTTTGAACATAAGGAAATCTGTTAAGGGGATACTAACCTTTTGCATGTATCATGTTTTGAAGGGTCCTGAAAATGACACATATTCAAAAATAACAAACAAAAAGAAACAAGATTAACATAGCACATATACATTTTCTTGAATAGCTACATAAACCCTGTAACTGATACCAGAACTTCACTTTTCATGCATTTTGGTGTTTACAAATATATAAGCAATGGATGGACTGGGAATTTTATTTCTGATAACATACTGGCACTTTGCTAGGTTCCTTCCTACTGAAGAATCACTAATGAAAGCATAGAAATGACCTAAACTTTTTTAGATGTTAAAAAATGTTAATAATACAAACTACATTGAAATGGACTACTTTGTGGTCATGATGATGTGCCTGGTTCAGCTGGGCTTGCCACTGGCAGTAGCTAACATCATACTTTCTAAAAACCTTTTTTAAAGCCCAAAAAGCTCTTCTAACACGTAGATCAACTGTGAAATCCTCTAGATCATATAGATGATTGCTTTGTAGATCACAAAAATATACTGGTTCACTCTTTGAAATCATAATAATTATGAAGGAAGACCTTAGAATTGATTTCACAATGAAAAGAGAAAAAACGGAGTCAAAGGAAAGAAAATGACAAAATAACCTTAAAATATAAATCTTAGCAATAAAAGGTACTGAAGTATTGATATCTGCTACAACCTTCAGAGCATTATACTAAGTGAAAGAAAGCAGACACAAAAGACTACATATTATATAAATCTGCTTTATAAAGTGTTCAGAATAGGACAATCAATAGAGGTAGAAGTAGATCAGTGGTTGCCTCGGGCTGGCATGAGGAGGACGAGTTGTGGGGAAGTGGAAAACGACTGCTAATGAGTATGGGGTTCCTTCTTGGAGTGAGGAAATTGTTCTCAAATAGACTGCACAGCTTTGTAAATACACTAAAAACCATTGACTTGTACAGTTTAAATAGGTGAACTGTATGGTATGTGAATTGTATCACAATAAGGTTGTTATTAAAATTTTTTACTCAATTTAAGTAAGTATCAAATGAGGTACTGATTCCATTAATCAGCTGTATAGTACAAAAGGCCTGCTAACTTACTGCCAGAGGACAATAACACTTTTAGCATAGGTTACTGCTGCCCAAAATACCATCTTTGCAAAATGTAGAAGTACTTCACGGTATGAACATGGAATATTAGCTCTGCTTAACCACCGTTTTCAATAATCTCCAAGAATTTCCAATCACATTGGCCCCGATATACTTTAGAGCAGTCCATGAAATGAGTTTTAATTTCACATATCCAAAACACTGCCATGCAAATGAATACATGCCCCAAACCTGAAAGAAATTAGCCTGTAGACAAGAAAAATGTCAAATGAAAGGTTTTAAAGAAACCATACTAACATACTACTATACTTCTTTAAGATTTTAATGATTATTGTTATCTGGGACATTTCAGCTAGTCTAGTAAGGATCTAATTAATTAAAATGAGTTACAGGTCAGTCTTTGAAAAATACAACAAATGTTACTATCTACTTTACAGATTCAGAAGGTGGGAGTGGTAGCGATGGTAGTGTGTGCATCAAGTTAATTTATAATGTTGCCTTTTAAAATAAATATTCCACCACAGCAGCTGAGAAATAATTGAATTCCATCAAGAAAATGTTCATGGTCTTTTATGCTTTAGCTACATAAATACCAATGATTTATAGACAAAAAATGTAGTTACTATTTTTAAAAGGGATAATTTGAAAGGCTTATATGAGAGCATCACAGCATAATATATGTATTATGATGCTTAATCTATAATTAGAGTAAAAATCATATACTTCATATAAACAGATTCTCTAGATTTCAAAGCTTTTAGCCTCTTTTACGATCAAAAGCCCTGGATGTCTGCTAAGTAAGGTGAGCCTTAGAAAAAGGTAATAAGCAACTGAAGAAAGAGAACAGAGACAGCCAAAACTGTACTATGCTGAAACGTAAAAATTTCTAAACAATAAATAATTTAAAACATATGGTGTTCTTTGAACTAAGTACTGCAAAATGTGCCTGTTTTAAGATCAATCCATCCCTGGGGCCGAAAAAAAAAAAAGACCAAGTTGTCTAACTCATTAAAGGAAAGAAAAGAGAAAGAGGCATACACTCCCTTCTAGGATACTGACAGCCAAGTAGATGCAAACCATAGTGACCCCACTTTTAATCAAATACATAATAATCAAAGAGATGTTGAAGGCACAGCTCTTGGCAGCCAAGACGCTCAGTCAAATTTGGAAATAAGCCAAATCGGTTATTTTTAAACTGAAATGAAAAAAAGTTCTATTAACACATAACCTCCCTTCCCTAGGCACGGCTCCCCCCAATCTTCATTTCCACAGTTAAGCACTGGGCTAAATCTAATGGATGCTTAAGGGAAATTCGTACAGTTTATAGTTGACTTTAATCTATCCCTTCAGGTATTGAGGCATATCTACCCGGTTATGTCCATGCCCAGATTTTAATGCTCTCAACCTTTGGCATGGAAAGTAATAATTGCAATACTATGACTTTAGTTACAAGAGCGAATCAAATCCACAGTTCTTCCAGCATAACCCCTACCAAGCAATTAATATGCATGCTTCTTTTTCTTCAAAAAGCTTAGAATACACTGGCAAACAACAAAATTGCTGTGACTTTTGGTATTATAGGTTCTAAAAAAAAATTGCTGTTAAGTCTACTCTGACTTTAGCTCAAAACTCATGGAAATTAACTATTTAAATAAAACTGGTTCCTCAAGTTCAAGGTTCATTAAGGCTTTTCTTCCCCACTAAAATAAATAAGTAAGGGCTAGGCACTTGGTTCACACCTGTAATCCCAACACTTCGGGAAGGCTGAGGCAGGAGGATCGCCTGAGCCCAGGAGTTCAAGGTTGTAGTGAGCTAGGATTGTGCCACTGTACTCCAGCCTGGGGGACAGAGCAAAATCCTGTCTCAAAAATAAATAAATAAATAAGTATATTTATATACATATAAACACTAAAGACAGACTTTTTAGGGAAAAAGGAAATATTTTGTAACACCTTAATAGAATTTTTATAAAGCTGCTCATAACTAAAATTATATCTAATATCTTCAGGCCCAATGTTATAAATCAGTTTCCTAATTTGTAAAATGAAAGGCTCAGATCAAATAAATGTGAATTCTAAAGTCATATTCAATTATCTCAACACAATTTTCTAAGCCAAGGAGATTGTGGCAAAACCTAGAGGAGCAGGCTTCTAAAGGGTAGAGAGAAGAAAACACCATTCTCTCACGTCTAGGAAGACTGAAGAAGCACTACCATAGGTAGATTTTTCTCTCTTCCACCAGCTACATAAAGGAGTGATTTCCCAGATATTCATCTGAGAGTATCGCGTCAGTGCACCATAAGCATTGACCCAATTTGCTAAGATTAAGAGAATGACAAAGAGGCCGGGTGTGGTGGCTCACGCCTGTGATCCCAGCACTTTGGGAGGCCAACGTGGGCGGATCATGAGGTCAGGAGATTGAGATCGTCCTGGCCAACATGGTGAAACCCCGTCTTTACCAAAAATACAAAAATTAGCTGGGTGTGGCAGCGCATGCCTGTAATCCCAGCTACTCAGGAGGCTGAGGCAGGAGAATTGCTTGAACCCAGGAGGCAGAGGTTGCAGCAAGCCGAGATAGGGCCACTGCACTCCAGCCTGGTGACAGAGTGAGATTCCACTCAAAAAAAAAAAAAAAAAAGAGAGAGAATGACAAAGAAATGTCACAACTGGCAACTACATGGAAAGGATGTGGGGGTCAATGGGGGTGGATTTCACGATGAACTTTGTTTATGAGAAAACATGACAGAAGAGCACACACTTAAGGAATGGAGTATACTTTGTCATCAGGACAGAAATGTAGGAAAGAATGAACCAGAATCATGATTATGATGCATTAAGACAGACAGGGCAGCCGGGCACAGTGGCTCATGCCTGTAATCCCAGCACTTTGGGAGGTCAAGACAGGCGGATCACGAGGTCAGGAGATCGAGACCATCCTGGCTAACACAGTGAAACCCTATCTCTACTAAAAATACAAAAAAATTAGCTGGGCATGGTGGCAGGGAGGCCGAGGCAGGAGAATAGCTTGAACCCGAGAGGCAGAGGTTGCAGTGAGCCGAGATCACGCCACTGCACTCCAGCCTGGGCAACAGAGCGACACTCCGTCTCAAAAACAAAAAACAAAAAACAAAACAAAACAAAACAAAAAAAAACAGGGCGTTATACCTTCAACCTATACAGCTTACATTTAGGCTTTCAAAAGCTTAAAAGGAAAATATGAGGTATATATATATATAGACCTTATGTTTTAATTCCCACATTGCTATTCCAAGAGGATTCTAAGTAGTTAAAATTGGAAAAAGCAGATTTTTTTTTTTTTTTTTTTTTTTTGAGACGGAGTCTCGCTCTGTCACCCAGGCTGGAGTGCAGTGGCGCAATCTCGGCTCACTGCAAGCTCCGCCTCCCGGGTTCACGCCATTCTCCGGCCTCAGCCTCCCGAGTAGCTGGGACTACAGGCGCCCGCCACTGCGCCCGGCTAATTTTTTTCTATTTTTAGTAGAGACGGGGTTTCACCATGGTCTCGATCTCCTGACCTTGTGATCCGCCCGCCTCGGCCTTCCAAAGTGCTGGGATTACAGGCGTGAGCCACCGCGCCCGGCCATGGAAAAAGCAGATTTTAAGCCACAGGACACCTTTGGCAAATTTAATGGGTATTTAGGTGGCCTGGTAGAGATTGTGTAGCTTTGAATTTGGAACACTTTGGTATCTCTGTAGCCAGTAACTTATGAAAAACAAGTTGGGAACTTCTGGCTTCAAATTCTAAACTGGAAAGGATTTTCCCCCCATAATACCATGGACCTTACAGTATGAGCTACCACTATATGAATTTTAACATTAGGTTCATTTTACCACCTAAAATGTTTGAGTATTGAAGGTATATGATTTCAGCATTTTATAGTCCCAACTATGACACAGTCATGTGGTATGGATCTTGAGGACAGCCTTCTCATC